ATGGATGTGAGGATTATACATTCATTTGTCTGTCGTCGCTAGTCTTTTATATCTATCACAGTCACTTTTATAAGAAGTGTGATTGCCTTTATCTCTCTTTGAATGGACGCCTCAGAAAGCCACATATTGTAGCTCATTCAACAATCTTGAGGAACATGTCTTAATGATTTTTTCCAGTTGAACAAATCTTGCAAACATATGTCCAATTATTAATTAGTTCACAATGTGCGTGTACTTATCGTCCGATTTACTTAACTTTCCGTACAGAGGATGAAATTACTAATATTATACAGTTAGATGAACACTATACTTATTTTTCACTATACTTTTTCGCAACTTGAAAGAACATTTGTAGCGTCAACTAAACATGCAGCTGGAGCTCTAAAGATGAAACCTAAATTAAAAGAGATATGGCTAATAAAAAAAATGAATTAACGCGCAATTATTTTTTAAATAAAAAAGGAAGATATTCATTAATTATAAAATTATTGGGATTCAGGATTGGTTTATTAATGGAAGATTTGATTTACCACGTACGTTGAAAATCCGGAAAATCATTCAGTGTGTACATTTGATACTATCAAACATTATTATCCTCTCATTCTAATCTATTTGCACAAACATCTAGCATTTGTGGCTTTTATTGGCTCTTACATTCTCTTCTCGCTTAATTTACTTATGGCGTCCTTATAACTACATTTCAGTTTCTATTAACCTTTTATTTTTGATTAAACTTTTTAGCGAAAATTCTTACATCAGATTGTAGGACAGACTTAACTCTTTGCACTCGAGAGGCGACTCTCAGTCGCCACTTGGTTTGATATAGCAACTCGAATGACGAGTGAGAAGCGATAATAACTATTTGTTTTATCTCAATAGTACTGAAATATAACAGTTCTATCCGTTACTCAATGTATGATTTATGTTTGTTAGCTGTAAAAAATTTCATCAACGTTTTATCAAAACAGTTTCGAATTGCTAGTTCCCTACAGCGGGAAAACTATCACACAAGTGCAAGGAGTTATTTTTTATGCAATTTGATTCACAGTCGATCACAGTCGATGCCAAATTTACTCAAGATCCAGAGACTTGGTTCGTTTTCCTCAATCATTTTTTTTTTCAGTGTACGACGTTCGCGCGACGCACAAACATCCTCACGACGAAGGTGACGGCGGCCTCGTCGCCGCTTCCTCAACGAGGAGACGCGCTTTCCGCGTTATTATTTTCGGACGGCGACGTTGTATTCTTCCTTATCTTTATTACACTCGGCAGGATCGCCTCGTATTTTTACAGTTGGCCTTCGAGCCGTTCGCGTGTCTGTGTATCTGTAACGTAAACGTCGATACGCGACGCATATGCGGCGTCGTCATAAATGTTTACAATCGACCTTCGATCGTGCAACCCGGTCGGCTTGTTACTTGACGGCCGCCGATCGTCATGTACGCGTAGCGGAATGCTTCAGGCAAGAAACTTAGCCGGTGTATAACGGAGATAATCGCCACTTGGTCTCGACGACGAAGGACTCTCCTCTCCCTTCCCTCTTTCGTTCCCTTTCCTATTCGTCGCCTGGAGGATTCGACGAAAGACGATGCGACGTCGTTTCTTATCTCGGGGGATCTTACGTTAACAGAGATTGCATTACGCCGCCATCGACGCACGCCCGGCCTGTTTGTTTGACGAACGGTCTCGGACGGGCGCATTGCGATTTCCGAAAAACATGAAGGAAGCGCAATGAAGCCGAAATGATCGGCGCATGCCAACGGCAACGTAGGTGAACGTCACTTGTCGCGAGAGATCGCCTTTATGGCGACGCGCGTTAGACTTTTAATTAAAAGCCTCGACGTCCTCGGCTGGTGCGCGGGTATTATTGCCACGTTCCTGCGGGACGTTTGCGTGCCATCCGCCAATTTGACTTCTCATTTACGGAGTGTACTGTGGCGCTCGCAATCGCGAATAATGTCCGCATTGCAATTACTCGGCCGTCATTCAGCGCTCTCGCATCCTGCGGTACACCTCGCCCTCTAATTATCTATTGACAAATAATCGCTTTCCTATCGATTACGTTAGCATAAAACGCATCCCGCAGTCGGTAGCGTGTGTCGCGATTAATCGCGTGCGAGCGAGCGAGCGCGCGCGCGCGCGCGCATTGCGCAATCGAAAGTTTATTTCGAGCGAGAGAAGCGACAATCAATCGCCTCGACGGCGCACGTACTCCTCGGCGTTGTGCTTCCGCGGAAGTCCACCGGGGTCGCCGTGTGCGTCACGCGTCCACTGTTTGGCGTGCCGCGCGCTTGGACTCACCGAGGGCGCGTTGTGTGTGTATGTGGTGTCGCAACATCGTTACTTTACATCACGAGTGCTACACCGGCCGGCCGGCGGAATGAGCGTCACTGGGACGGATTTGTACAAAGTGTAAGCAGAGCGGGTACAGATGCGTCGCCGCACTCGGCCGTCGCTCGCGTCGGCTCGCCGCCGAATCCCGGCGGCGCGCTGTGAAGTCGCGATGACGCAACGACAAAGTGTGGCGGAGGTTGGGAGTATACGGGCGACGTGTCGCGCGAATGCGCCGCCGCCGCCGCCGTTGCGGCCGGCCGGGCGGCGGGAGGCCTTTAAGTCGCTCTTGCGACTTCGTCGCCTCTCGCGCAACGTCCAACCATTTCTTTCTCCTTCCTTCTTTTAATTCTCATAAGTAAGCCTAATTGTGGGTCATTTGACCCTTTGAGCCATACACTTCGTTTCGGTCGAAGTTTCCTCAGATTTGGCGTACGGGGGATTTCGCAGTCGCTGATTACGAATTTTAAGTGGAAAAATTAAAATTCAAAATAGCGGTTCCAATATGACGACCATAAGTTTCCAGAATTAGCAATCTTGCTCTTAGCATTATTCGGAAATAACATTTCCTCAAGATGAAAAGATGAGGGATTTTTGCCTTCGATAAGAAATCTGCAGCAAACATATTATCGATGTTTCAATAGTTTGTTGAAAAATAAAAAAAATACTTTTAATTGTTTTGAATAAATAGTTAATGTTTCGATTCTTAATAAACCTAAAATGATTTTTATCTGAAAAAATTTTCTATTTTATTTTTAATTGCTTATAATAATTTAATAATTAAACATTCGAATTATTTTTAGTTCCTTATGTTTATGAGAGAGAGAGAGAGAGAGAGAGAGAGAGAGAGAGAGAGAGAGAGAGAGAGAGAGAGAGAGAGAGAG